ATTATCTTGGTAACTAAACACTAAGGTAAAGATTGCCCTGAAGAAATATACTCCCGAGCGATATATCTAGGATATACGGTAGGACCCCAGCAAGACAAGCAACAATCAGAGTGAGTAGGGACTGGGAACCCACGATCACAGATTTCCGACTTTCCTGAAAGTTTGATAGTGGGTGATTATGGTTTCATAATTTTATTGAAACGCAACAATATTTCAGTTACTTCCCATGGTGTGTGCATGATGTGGACACCGGAAAAATATATAAGTAACTAATTAGCATAATTAGGTGGTGTTGCTTTTGTTAGCCGGAGCCTATGAACTGAGTGAGTGAGTGAGTTTAGGTTTGCTTCTAGCAATATTCCAGCAATATTGTCAGCGTGACTAGCGAACGTTTTAACCGCTGTGCTTCCCGCAACCACTATAGCTAACTGTTAGACATAGGTACAGATAGTTTATAAAGTATTACTAGTTTTCATGGCGGCATATCTGCAATATTGCCTATATACTGTAAAGTTGAACTCACTCACTCAATCGAATCCACTATAACAGGTTGACAGCAACCCTTTGGGACACTACCCAGAGCAGAGCAAATTCACAGATTTGAGTGGATGGGCCAGTTTCGTTTAATGCCACTTTGAACAATATTTCTGTTATTTCACAGCCCGTTGGTTTGACATGGGAGCAAAGCCGTGAATGATTCATGTGTAAGGTGCTGAGATCCGAACTTCAGATGACAGTTTTCTGGTGCCCTGCACAGCGAACTGTCTTAACAACTGGTTCAGTCTTAACAACTGGTTCAGTCTTAACAACTGGTTCAGTCTTTACAACTGGTTCAGTCATCGACTGGTTCAGTCTTAACAACTGGTTCAGTCATCGACTGGAATGGCTGTCGGAGGCTGGAATGCAATCGCATTCTTTCTTGATGTTTTACAAGAAAATGATCTCAGCAAACAATATATGTATAGCACTATTTCTAAAGTAAAGATGAAAAATTTGTTTTATTTTGAGAATAAACAACCTTACAGCTCCACCACTGGAACTGACTAAAGACGACTGGAGTGTGAAAAGAAGTATATCAGTTTACTTACAATAATCGAAAAGGACATCAACGGATGAGTTTTATCTCCTTGTAACTGCTGTACTGTTATATTTTAATGTTTCACCGTCTTTGATTTTGAACAGTTAAACTACATATATTGTTTTTCCAAACTCATCTGGTGTTAGAACATTTACTGTTTTCTGCATCAAACCTACCTCTTTCTGGAATTGGTCAGGCGTTGCCGTTGTATATTTATAGGTTTGTTTCTCTGTGAAATTTTGACATGAAAGACAGTTCGTCACTTTAAGAGAACAGTTCGTCACTTTAAGAAAATATAATATTTTCCCTTCGATCATTTAAAAAGAGCAGAACACAAAATTACCTCCAAATCCGCTTCTAATCATGTCAACGAATGTATATCATTTAGGTGCCGTTATTACAACACTAAATTCCATTGTCCGTACAGATTCATTGTGTCCGACCATGAGATCTGATGGCTCCCATACCATAACGCTAACACCACCAAACTGTCGACGTTGAACAATGCACGCGTCAGCATACCGTTCACCTCACCGTCTATACATCCTTGCACTGCCATCTTAGCTGCCATCCCAATATTGTCTCCTGTACCGTGGACGCTGTATGTACCAGGCAAGTCACCCAAGTCGGTGACGTTAGAGCAAAATTGGACGTACTGCAGGCCGCCGGGGCCCGATGTTGTGCTCCCTCAGTCGAGTCTGTACAGGCTTGTTTCAGCCCAAAATTGGTTGTCTCGCTGACGTGAGGTCACGCGTAGACGGGCGGTCCTGGCAAATCTCTCGTGTTTTCATTATGTTAAAATCGTCTCCATAGAGATGAGATCGTGTTCCGATGGGCAATAAAATGTCTGATCACTTCATTTTGGGTGATTTCAATCTCCAGCATACCCACGGCGCGGAGACGCTGATTTTCTGTAAGCCGTGGCATGACGTTGGCGTAGTTTAGGTTGAAATCAACGTGTTTTCCGCAACATTCGAAGGTTGGAAAATAATGAACTGTTCTTCACTTTTCAATATCAGATGTGTCAACTTCAGTTGTCAAAACGCACGCAAAATGTGTAAGTTCATTGTGTACAATATGCATGTGCCACGCGCGATGCGTGACATCAAATTTCATGTAAAGAGCTTTGCTACATGTTTATTTAGGGTCATTTATAGAGTTAACATTTCAAATAAGTTTTATTTTATGCAATTGTATCTTATGCACAGTTCTTTTTTTTCGCCGTTAGTACATTATGTGAATATTGTGTAATGAAATATGTGCCATTACATGTTTTAAGCCATGGGTAACATATGCATACTTGCATACAAATTGTGTTCTGGAAAATGTACTCTAAGTAAATACTCCATGATAATTATACTAAGAGGTCGTTTATAGCAGATATATGAAGAACTATTTAATTGACTGCCTAAAACCAGGCCAGAGAAAAGCCAGACCTCAGGGTAATACTAAGAGTGGAATATTCATCTATTTCAGGTAACAACTGGGTCTCTGGACATAGATCCCCACAACCCTACAATTAACAGTAACTATCAAGGAAGACGTCATCGCCCATTATATTTCTACTGCTATTACTTTCCAAGATAATGAGACAACGATTACACAATGCCATTTAGAAAGTGGCCAAATGTAACATATGTCAAATTTGGGATTACACTTTCTTTAATGAAGTACAAATTCTAGTGCCTTTATGGGTTGAGTCCCATCCGGGATTCGAATGCACACCCTCACAAAGTCAGCCGCCTAACCCGCTCAGCCACCGCAACGGCGTACTCCATCGTCAACAACCACCGACCACACAACAAACTGGCTCTGCCGCACACGTAGAATGGAAACGAATGAACCACGTTGACTGTGGACGTTTGATTAGGATTGTCTTCAGATTTGAGGTGTATTGATGCGACATTAATGAGTTTGATTTCACATGATAAATGACGTTGACAATAGGGCACATTACTAAACTATTCATCCCATTAAGAATATACAATGGCAATAGTTGTGAAACCCTTATTTAGGAAATACGGTTCGCTGTACCACCGTGTACAGTGTCATAAAAACACACTTTTGCACACGTACTATTACAGTTAAAATACGGGGACGCTTGCGTCCGAATGCTTTAACGTTATAATAGTTCAGGGCAAAAGTGTGCTTTATGATACTATACATGGTGGTAGAGCAAAACGTATTTCTCTTAAGACTAAGATGCCAGATTTGATACTTTCCAACGAATAATCGAAGGCGGAAAACAAAGACAAAAATAAATAAATAAATAAATAAATAAATAAATAAATAAATAAATAAATAAATAAATAAATAAATAAATAAATAAATAAATAAATAAATAAATAAATAAATAAATAAATAATAAATAAATAAATAAATAAATAAATAAATAAATAAACTACAGTGCGCTGTTCTATTAACGAGTCTGTCCTCTACTTTACCAAAAACCACAACATATGATAAGCAATTTGATGACGTTTTAATTGCGGGTTAAATATCTTCTCTTTATTATTACATCTCTGATTAACGTAACCCATATGGGCCAATGTTGGACAATATGGGACAATATGAACGTCGCATTTCTACGGCCAACGTGAGTTTAGATCAGTACATCCAGATGAAGCTGACTATCCACATTCCACGGATGCATTGTGGGAAAGTAAACATTGCGAACGTTGTCGTGTCGCTGTTAAATTGTGAGTCGAAATGAAACATTTTATCTGTCGAAAATCAGAAACGTAATGTTTCCACCAGTGATGTCAGCCGTGTAGAAGGCTTACGAGGGGTTGCAACTGACATGCATCGTGACGTAGGTTACCAAGAATACGTTTGGTAACGAGGGGGCCGACAAGAATGGCGCCGTGCCATCAATACAGTGTGACGTCATGCAAAAGCGCACTTTATCGCCTGATAAAGTATTGTCAGCGTCTTTGATCTTTTAGCAAACCATCTTACAATACTGAACATCACCTACGTGTGTTTAATGGTATGGTACATCTTTGCAGTTTATTAATATGTCTAAAGCACGGCCACTCTCAACTCAGTTATTGATACGCTCCTCGGTGTGCCAAGCTTAATACATATGTAACTCATAAATGACCACGATTCACCTTGACGTGTCAGTTGTGCCTGAAGCTGATACTGGACTCGTACGACCAAGAACGTGAAAGTGCAGTAACACACTTTCTGACAGGGTCTACTAGCTGTAATATACAAATGTAGGCGCACGATGAAGTCATCAAACAGATGCATCTTCTCTTCTAATCAATAGACAAGTTTATTCATACATACAACATGTCAACATTATTGAAGCATCTAATTTAAGTCAATTTTTAGACCTCTGGCACGAACGCAGCTCATATTTACATTATATTCACAAATATATAGATACAGTCTAACTTTGAATATACTGACGATGCACATATTGAAATTTTCGTTCTCGTGATTGTCATAAATATAGTCAATGACGTTGGCCATACCTGTTGTTCACACATAAAAGTAAACGAGGGACGTTGAGAATGAATACGGCGTTCATTTAAGGATGCTTAGGTTATAGTGCAAGACACTCGTTTAAAAAGTTGGATCAGTCAGATGGACCTGACATAGAGTAACTATACACAAAGAACTTATTAAGCATCCCCTGTATTTTTGTGATGATAAATTTCCAACACGTACATAAAACTTCTCGTGGTGACCATGATGGAAAAACATGAGTTTACTCATATGACCCTTTGACTCATTACAAATGACACAGTGATCGGAATCCATGTTGATTTTATGATGATAGGTGCTCATTTTAAAAAACCCTGATTTTCATACAAAACCACGTCTGTACATGTAATACATTCCAAATGTCATTTTGCGTTTCTTAATATAAATACATTTAGCTGTTTATTGGCGTTTTAACTGATGTCTGTACACAACGTTTCTGGGCAGCTCAGGTTTCAGCAACCAGCACGTTCCTGTTGTTGGTAAAGGTTGCAGTGGTTCAGACACAAACTGAGTTATTATGTAACCTTCACCAACACAACAGAGACAGAGACCAAAATATATATGTAATCCACAGCCACTAAACGTATGTGGACAACGATCCTTGTCAATATTCTAGTGACGGTATGATTAACGGAGGAATGAGTCATCGATTATGATGTCAGAGATATTGATGTTTCAGTCTGTGGTTTCAGGTGTTCACATAGGGCGAATCTGAAACAGAAACATTACAATATTCATACACAGCACTTGGCCCCAGTATGGTAATATCCAGTGCACAAATAATTATATAGAAACATTACAATATTCATACACAGCACTTGGCCCCAGTATGGTAATATCCAGTGCACAAATAATTATATAGAAGCATTACAATATTCATACACAGCACTTGGCCCCAGTATTAATATCCAGTGCACAAATAATTATGCAGAAACATGACAATATTCATACACAGCACTTGGCCCCAGTATAGCAATATCCTTTGCACAAATAATGATGCAGTAGAATGTTTAACTTATGAGTCAGACAATCGAGTGACAGACAGGTCTTTGTCAAGTTATGATGGCTAACAATGTATTGTAACCACTTCTTCAAACGTGAAGCTGGGGATGGAGGGGGCCTATTCTTTCCTGAAGTTCTACTTGGAGATGTTCATGCTATGCATTGTATTATATTATGTTAACGATTGTTTCCACATCAGTCGTACCTTTGCCTTTGATATCAGCATTCACATACAGGGCAGGCTTGTCGTGTTCATAAGCATGTCTTGATGTCTGGTTGATATCTTCATAGGTGTTGACAGTGTCTGAAAATAATTATCACTTGCGTATAGTAACTACATGACTGCTGAGAATCCATCAGTGCAAATTTAAAGACTTCGATGGTATGATAAGGAAGGAATGCTACTTTATGGATGAACTGCTTGTTTGGCATTTTAGAAGTTGATGGTATAGTCAAAACAGTCCACATCCAGGATAGGGATCTAGGGATGTATAAAGGTTCGGTTGGATACCTGTAGAAGGACGGAATCCTGTATTTTCATAATTCTTCAGTTCTGTGTACGTCTGTTTGTCATCCGCTCTATCTTGCAGGCCAGAGTACGGGTTAACATCTATATTGAAGAAAAACAGACACGTGTGGACATGAATTAGGCATTATTTAACAACAGCGATGCAAATAATCGCACCCTTTTCCTTTCATCATACATACATGTACTTTGAATATTGACATACCTTGAAAATGCACTTGGTCTCCTCTATTTTCGGGGATCCGTGACCTGCAGTAGAAACGACAACACTGTTAGAAGGGCATGGAATTCACACATGTATACACATACATAACCATGTTTGGAATCGAACCCAGGTCTTTGGGGATGTGTGTAAAGAGGAAGAGATCTAATTGATTGGGAAGGCTATTTTAGATGTTGACATTAACAAGTACAACTGTACTCACGCATTCTGTGTGTCTGTTGAGCCTGTGGAGATAACAAAGATGTTGTCATGTCAAACTTGTCAGTGGAATTTTGGTATTTTCTGTATCAAGGAGAAAGTAAACATGTGAACCGTTTTTTCATGTGTTTTCTTGTGTCCCAGTGAGTTGCTGCATTATACTATACCTTAGTACGGTATTGTTGTCAAACTTGTGATTAGGCAACATGTCTTCATTAATACATTTAAAATATATATGTTTGGAGTTGTCATGCAAACCTGTGTTGCCATTGTTTTCTGCACACAGCACACCTACCTGGTTTCTGCAATATGCATCTGTATCCTTTCCTGGTCATGACGACAACGACGACCACAATGCCGACGACCAATACCACACCGACTGTCACTCCTGCTATTAATCCAGCTGGTAAAGAGGGTGCAGGAGCTAAAACAGAAATACCCCACGTATAAACAATGCCATACTACATTGCTACATAATACATAATGGACATGTGATAAACAGTTCCATTTATCCAAAACATATTCCATGGGACGTTAAAAAGTAGTAGTCAAAAAGGGAAAGAAAGGAGCAGGGAATATCGGTGAATAACATCAGGTGTTCGTGACAAAGTTGGTATGTTCTGCTCTCCATGTAGCACCCGCCACTTACAGAGTGCATATGTCGAATATGGTTGCTTTCAGTGTTTTTATAATGTGTTGTGATACATCTATCATAAATGTCGATTACTGTTACTGGAAGAATTCAGAGACAGATTACAGAGGGTGTTATTGTATCTTTGACAATTGTTAACAGGTTGGTCTGGATTTAGCAGTAACACGTAAGCAGTAGCTTCCAAATGACAAGCTGAGATGCAGATTGTTATGCGGGATAATAACGAATAATAAAAAACAAATAACGTGGGAGAGCCAATTGCTGACATCGGTTGTGAATTCAAGAGGACTGAAAAAATAAATAGCTGCGAAATCCAAGCGGTTTCTTTGGAAAGATTATTGCACACAGAGGTACCAAGGATATCGAAACTGGTATCACCGGTGTTCTCGCTAAATGTTCTCTCAAAGGTTTCCCAAAATTGGAAATGTTTCAGCGTCACCCTTGTTTAAGACTGATTTACACTGTCTGTCTGTCTATATATTTTCTAAACAATAACAAGTATATAGGAAAGGGAGACGCCATGTCTTTTCAAGTGACTTAAAGTAGTACTTACATAGCCTTTCATACTTGCATATTTATCCGTATAATCATCACATCATTAGATGAAAGAAATATAAGTTAAGGCAAGTGGTTATGAATCATTCGTTTTATTTACACTCTGCAATATTCCAGTTATACCTTTGCAGCATGTCAATATATTGAAACTTTTAAATTTAGTCTCCTCACACAACATGTGTTCTTGAGGTTTCATGTTGAATATATCAAAATTAAAATACATTATATATGTTTCATAACATCATAGGTGTCTGAAACAATACGTAAATCGTTACACGGGCTGAAAGGGAAAGTAAGTAGCAAAGTTTATGACAGTACTTAGGGCTTCATAACTGAATCGTTCAAGCCACATACACTGGTCGCTAAGACAACCAAGTATGGAATGGATGCAAATAGGTCTAGATTCTAACATTACACCGATAGTGAATATTAACAAATAAAGACTCTTTCAGTTCATTAAGAAAATTGATTACCTCTTGAGTAAGTACCATGTATAAAAACAGAGGCAACAAACAGCTCTACCTACGTATCCTGAGATGATGGCTTGAATGTAAAATGAGACGTACGTATAACTTCCTTCTCCGTGAGTCCAGTCACATGTTCAGTGTAGCTGCTGCTTCCAAACTTGTTCCTGGCGACAACCCTCACATAGTACAGTGTGTCAGAGTTGAGATCATTGATGACTGATGTTAAGTAATTCCCACTTCCTGTCTCCGTATGACTTCCTGCTGTCTTCCAGTCCTTCTCGTCTGTGCTGTACTCTACAGTGAATGTCTGAGTAGCTCCGCCATTGAACTCCTCCTTCCAGGAAACATGTAGAGAGAAGGGACCTTCTGGGGAGACACTGATGTTTGTTGGGGTGCTTGGTGGTCCTGGAAACAGAAGATGTACTGACACTACACATTTGTTAATGCATGCACCGTTGTGTTAAAATAAGGTAATTAATGAATGTCAACTAACAATTTATTGTAAAATGCATAACAAGGTTAACATTAAACGTTAAGTTAACTCAAACTTTTCTATCCTTAGCCATTTATTGAAGTTAATATTTACAAATTCCAAACATGAAAAACTTTCATATAATTTTCAAGAATGTCTAAGGTCACATTTGTTGTGACCTTCTCAACAATGAATGAATCTTAAGCCATGCTGAGCATACTCAGTTCTTTAGAATGTTGCAATCTTATCTGCCAGAGATCAAATGGGGTGATGGACGAAAGTGTCAGTCTGAACTATGTGTCGATATGCATGCATTGAATGGGTTCACGCATCATACATGGCTACAAGTAGAAATATCAAATTTGAAAGTCAATCGATGCGGTGATGTATTACATATTTGACGGTGTAAAAAATAACGAGTTGTCAATGATGAATGAATGAACTTAGAAATAAATGGAATGGAAACCAGTTAATATTGATATTAGTGTGATGGGTTAATGTCTGCATGACATCAGGCATCATTCCTGCGGGAATATCTGAAATAAGCATCAAATTATTATGTTAGTTTTCAGAGAGTTGTGTGGGAAATCCGATGCTCACTGCTGACATGGGAAGTTGTCACCATATTTGGAGATAACTTGGAGTTTAGAATATTCACGAAGTGTTTAATCTGAACTGAACGGAACTGAACTTTATTTACAACCCGTTCGTGTTCTGCGGCATTAGAAGTACATGTTTACATCACTATTACGTATACAGTGCTAAATACATATATGATACAAAATGGTAATGGTAAATATCGGATGGTTGCAAGAATACACTATGTAATTGCATGAATTTACCCAGTTAAATATACTATGTTACACACAGAACTCAGATATGTTGTGGTCGCATCACAGGTTACAACTAGAAAAAAGTGTCTTCCAGTCAAGAGATGAGTATGAACAGACTCTGCCATATAATCTTAAAACAAATAGGTTCTTATGTTTTAGATAATATTTGTGATTGCATATTTTTTTGTTTTTAAATTTTGCACGGTTTGTTTTCAAATTTTGCACACATACACATAATGGAAGTGACAATTCATCTTTGTGTTTGTAAGCATTTTGGGAGAATGCTAGGAATCTTTACTGTCTTGTAGAGTTTGCAATCATGGCAAGACCAAGATATGACTAAGAGGCACCGTTTTATCCTGCCTTATTTGAATGTTTAACTCCAAGCCGGATATTCAGGATACCGTGCCATTTGATTTCCTCTTTCTGAGTCATGATAATGAAGACATTGAGGAATGTACCTATGGGTCAGTAGTTGGATTATCTGTAATCCATGAGCAATAATCCGGATTAGTCTGATGAGGCCATTCAACACTCAGCTTCAGACCCTGTTCTGACTGTTTCCCTGTTCTGACTGTTTTACCTTCACCAATGTCTACCACGAGTCCTACAGTTGGAGGTTAGCAAGAGACTCTTACCTTCAGACACAATGTCGAGTGTGTATGTCACTAACCCCCAACTCCATTGTCCACTGTCAGACTGTAGTCCCCGAAGTCCTGCTGTTGGAGGTTAGTAAGGTGTAGTCTGGCAGTGACTGAGATGTCTGAGACAGGGCTGGAGGAACCAGTGAGGTCCTGGCTGGTGCTGATGGATCTACTCCAGGTGAATGTAGGAAGGGGTAGGCCAGGACTGACACAGACACAGTCACGTCACCACCCAGTCTAGCGGCGAACTTGAGTTGCTGTGAAACTGTCCCATCTAGTCGAGGAGAACCTGACCAGACGAAAGAGTATTCGATATTGTCAAAACCCTAACAGCTTTAGCTGGATAAACCCAAACTGCGTCGCCCTTCTCTAAAACAAATGTAAAATATCCACGTTCTGACTGGTTTATCTGGTGAACTCATTGATGAGTTATCTAAAAGCATAAAATTAGGTCATGGTGGCCTACATTAAGTTTTGTTGCACATGTTTAAGTTCCAATTGAAAAGGTCGTGTAGTTTCTGTACTACAGATTATTATATTTGTATACAAGATCTCAACTTCTGGTAAAACCGATATTGTCGCCTTAGAATCATAGAGCACAAAGTGACTAAAATGACAATTTCAGACAGAGACGTATAAATGGTCTGATATGATATCGTTTAGGATATGATTCCATTTAACATGTTTCTTTGAATAGTTGGAAATAGTTGGAATTGATAGACTATTCAAACATCATTCGCATTACTCTGGAAGTTTTGGTGCTCCAATTCTAGGAACGTCCTGGAATTCTGCGATCATCACTATTATGATTCTGGGTTTGAACCACACTCATGCCTTTGAGAAGTGCGTTAAATGTTGAAGTGATGTTTCACTTTGGGCTAGCCCAACATTTGGACGACAATACCTCCCTCCCTCCCTCCCTCCCTCACTCACGCTCGCTTTTACCACAAATAGTAAAGATTCGAAGCTAATTTGAACTTATATGAGCAGCATATACTTGCTCTAAACGCATCAAAAGTATGTTTTTTCCAACTTCAGTCTTGTTCATGATGTTGTCCCATCGCCCCACATAATACCTAAATAGATACAAACTTTTATATATGATTATGTATCTTGACAATCACATTCTGCCTTGACACATATCACCTACAGTTGCTGAAAATGAAATACTTACATTTAACCAGCAGCTCCAACCTCTGGGTGACAGGTGCCCCGATGTTGTTGGTGGCAGTACAGGAGTAGTTCCCTCTTTGTCTACAGTCTGCTGACTCCAGTCTATATGTTGCTGTCAGGGGAGTTATCTGCCCTTGTCAACTCCTCAGTTCCATTCAGTAACCTGATGACTGACCTTGGATTACTGTCAACCTGGCAGCTCAAGGTGGCTGGGTCAGACTCGTTAACTGTCACTGAACCACTGAGTGAGTTGGCCGTGAACATACTTATAGTGACAGGATCTGAAATTGCGTCAACGTTATCAAGATCAACATCTGGAAATAAATATATTGTTATGTGAAAATAGTCTCGTTTTGGGGCAAAAGAAAGGTTTTATGATTTTTTAATAAATAGTTGAAATACTTTTTTAAGATTGTCCTTCCATTGTAAATAAATATCATCAATTAAAATATATCGTGAATGACACCTTCACGGAGTCAGGTCTCAGATCTCACTACAGATGTACCCACACTCTACCACTGACCATATATTTATGTTACAGGCATTATGTTCAAAATATCTCTGTAAGCCAAAAGTCAAATTCTATTGTGCATTCAATGATTTCAGAAAGGTTTTTGATTATGTTGACAGGAAAAAACTGCTATATTTACTTTTAGGAAAAGGATGTTATGGTAAAATGTACAGTTTGTTAAAAGTATGTATGGGTCCGTGAAAGCAAGTGTAATGGTTGGAACCTCTAGCAGTGGGGTTTAGCACCTCTGGTGGGGTAAGGCAACGTGCGTCTTGATCCATGCTCTGTTTATGTCCTATATTAATGTGTTTGCGCTAGAAATGTATAGTGCTTGTTATCATGGTGTATTTGTTACCCAAATTACTGAACATCAACACTGACTGTAACACTGTCACCAGTGTAGACTATATACACTTACACTGAACATCAACACTGACTGTAACACTGTCACCAGTGTAGACTATATACTTACACACTGAACATCAACACTGACTGTAACACTGTCACCAGTGTAGACTATATACTTACACTGAACATCAACACTGACTGTAACACTGTCACCAGTGTAGACTATATACTTACACTGAACATCAACTGACTGTAACACTGACTGTCTGTGCTGACACTGTCACCAGTGTAGACTATATACTTACTGTAACACTGTCACCAGTGTAGACTATATACTTACACTGAACATCAACACTGACTGTAACACTGTCACCAGTGTAGACTATATACTTACACTGAACATCAACACTGACTGTAACACTGTCACCAGTGTAGACTATATACTTACACTGAACATCAACACTGACTGTAACACTGTCACCAGTGTAGACTATATACTTACACTGAACATCAACACTGACTGTAACACTGTCACCAGTGTAGACTATATACTTACACTGAACATCAACACTGACTGTAACACTGTCACCAGTGTAGACTATATACTTACACTGAACATCAACACTGACTGTAACACTGTCACCAGTGTAGACTATATACTTACACTGAACATCAACACTGACTGTAACACTGTCACCAGTGTAGACTATATACTTACACTGAACATCAACACTGACTGTAACACTGTCACCAGTGTAGACTATATACTTACACTGAACATCAACACTGACTGTAACACTGTCACCAGTGTAGACTATATACTTACACTGAACATCAACACTGACTGTAACACTGTCACCAGTGTAGACTATATACTTACACTGAACATCAACACTGACTGTAACACTGTCACCAGTGTAGACTATATACTTACACTGAACATCAACACTGACTGTAACACTGTCACCAGTGTAGACTATATACTTACACTGAACATCAACACTGACTGTAACACTGTCACCACCAGTGTAGACTATATACTATATCACACTGTCACCAGTGTACACTGAACATCTTACACTGAACATCAACACTGACTGTAACACTGTCACCAGTGTAGACTATATACTTACACTGAACATCAACACTGACTGTAACACTGTCACCAGTGTAGACTATATACTTACACTGAACATCAACACTGACTGTAACACTGTCACCAGTGTAGACTATATACTTACACTGAACATCAACACTGACTGTAACACTGTCACCAGTGTAGACTATATACTTACACTGAACATCAACACTGACTGTAACACTGTCACCAGTGTAGACTATATACTTACACTGAACATCAACACTGACTGTAACACTGTCACCAGTGTAGACTATATACTTACACTGAACATCAACACTGACTG